CAGCAGTGCAACCTGAAACTGCCTGAAGAGATGAGCAGTCATTAAATACTGCAGAGCTGACATAATGACAGGAAAGATAAAAGAGAGGAAACAAAAAAAGGCCAGACCAATTTTCATCCCATAATGCCTCCCCAACCCCCCAGGCTCAGCCTCATAAAAGACGCCAGGCCGTAGATAGGGCACTGGTCAGCTACAACTTTGCTGCTGTGATATTCTGCTCCGACAACATTCGCACAAAGCCCGGCCACCTCACAGAATAATGCCCCTCCACTCTTTCTGACACCTCTGGAAACAATAAGCAGCCAATGCAGTCAAACTCCACTTCATACAATGTTCATATTGTATAGAGTAATATTATATCATCTATAGCACACCCATTAACTCACTTATCTCTGCAATTATAATTATTAATTAAATAACAATTGTATGAGCAATTCAATGGCTTATGTGCAATCCATTTCACTATATATATTAGTTTTAATTCCATTTGTATTTCATTCTATTTTATTTACATTTCCTTACAATGAAGTATTGCATGTTGCACTAATTATTACTTTACTGATATCTATTTTTGATTGTCATCTTTGCTGCTGTAACATAGTAAATTTCCCTGTTGTGTATCTTATCTTATCACGTGAGGGCAGTCACTACTAGAACGGCTCTTTCTCCCACCACATTTACACTACTGTCTTCCGTCAGCATCTCTACCCAGCTTGTCAGTACCGAATGAACATGTTTAAAAGCTAAATTTGGCAATATAGGCTAGAGAACCACCATTCAAAGATATTTGCCTTTAAATAGACAGTAATAAAATCCTGACACATGATAGTCTTGCACCCTCAGCCCAGTGATCAAGCAAAGATATGTCCTCTGACACTAGGGCTTTTTATATCATCTTATGCAGTTAGCTGTCTTTAACTTGCTATGTCCCAAGGTATGATGCTAAACCACATGCAGCTCAGCTTGGTTCCCAGTTGGCATTCCAGTGTTCTGTAATACTGTGCTGAGGCAACATTTACCTTCAAAAGAAAGTGCACTTGGCACACAGCCTAGACTCTTGGGGTGGGGGCTCAACGGGTCGCTACTGTGTACTACATCCAACTTTCCCACCCAACAAAAATCCTTGTGCTGACCCGGCCAACCACCCACAGCCTCACAGCAGCAGCAGCGCTGCCTGCGTAGCCTGACTCCGCTACCTGGATCAGAGCCAAGGCAGAGCCTGATTCAAGTGCCAAGAGTGATAGAGAAGAGAGAGAGAGAGACACACACAGAGAATGTGAGTGCAGAGGGAGAGAGCCTGAACTAGTGAGCGTGAACACATTACGCCTCAGCCTGGCTCGCTGCCAGGACTCACTTAGGAGGATTTTTTGCCACAAAAGCCAATTGGCGGTCAACCCTCTGCAGAGATTTGAAGTGTTTCACAAAGATACAGCTGGAGAGGTTTGTCCAACAGTCAAGATTAAGTAATCACTCACAGTAGGAGGCTAGACTGGCAAATCAAACAGACGACTCATAGGGAGAGTGGTGAACAGTGAAAGGCAGTACATCATAATGAACGACATTGTTTTAATGCGACTGCATAAACAATTTAAATTGAAAGAAAGATAGGCCATTTTTTCAGTGTGTGATTGACAGAGGGGGATCTTAACATTCTAGATGGAGTAATCCTGGTTTAATACACCCAAAACACTAGCAGGGGTTTGAAGACACAACTGGCAAAATACCAAAACGGGAACTGATGTAATAGGGAGGGAACAATGTGACAAGGAGCCATGGCAGGGCACTAACCTGTCTGAAGTGATCCTCAAAACCCCAGTCCGCCTGTCCATTAGGAGAGGTGGCAGAGTGAGGCCCTGCAGGAGACAGGCCCTCGTCAGGTTCCTGCTTCACCCTGATAGGTGGTGACGCAGCCCTCTGGGGGGCCGAAGCAGAGTAACTGCCGAATGGACGGGAAGGGATGCGGGAGGCGCTCTGCTGCAAAGCGAGGGTCTGCTTGCGGAGGAACTCCAGACCACTGGCACTTCCCTCATCTTCATCACTGCCCTCGTCTCCCTCCATCATCTCATTGTCGTCATCCTCATCTCCAGAATCACGGCCTCTGTCCTCGTCATCCTCTCTTTCGGAGTCCACACTGCTCTGATTGGAAACCCGGGGAGGCAACCCGCCACCCGGGATGACTCCAGCAAGGCTTTTGCCCATGAAGCTGGCCCCAGAAGCCCGGGCAGCTGCCAGGATGGCTTGCTGGGCAGCAACCTGCTGGGCATACATGATATGGGCCTCTCGCAGCTTCCTCTCCTTGCGCTCCATTTCCAGTCGAGCCTGCTGTTGGCGCTGGAGTTGCTCCATCACTGCCTCCAGCTTCATTCCTCCTGTAGAGGTGCTCTGAGGAAAGGCCACACCAGGCTCTTGTGACATACTGGGCTGTAGGAGGAAGAGAAGGAGTCATGGATGACCTACCATATACTGAAATCGAATTACTCCTTTATCACATTATAGAGGATGAAATGAGACACATGCATCATCCCCCCTCCAACAAAAACAGAAGCCAAATGTATATTCTCACATGGTTAAATATGGATACATCAAATAAAAATAGACTAAATTGTAACTCCTTGCACTCTATCACTTGAGACAAAATTGGAACCAGAGCACCACAGTCATAAATCTGAGCTGTATTTGTTAACATTGAAGGAGGAAAAGTGCAATGCTCCCTGCAAAGATCCAGCCCTCAACATTTACATCCAAACCAGAAAACAACTGAGTGTGTGAAAAAAAAATCACAGTAACTAATGTAAACAGGCTCAATACAAAGGAAAGCATGCAAAAACTTTTGCAAACATTTAAATTCTACTGGTTTAAGGTTTCAGTAAGTCCACGCAGATAGAGAGCTGTGACACTGTACTCACATTATATTAGACACGTTAAATAAAAAGGATATGATGATACAACAAGAAAGAAAACATTTAAATTCAACTGAAGTGAACAGTGATTTCTCATGACGAAATCCATCTACTGTAATTACTGCAAAATGGTCATACATGGAGCTACTGCTGAGAGTAGTTAACCTGACATAAAGTGCTTCTCACCAGACCATAAGTTCAGTGCTAGCGAAATGAAAAAGCGGATAAAGTGACTGTAGGACTGTAAGTTAACCTAAAACCATCTCAGCTAAAACCGAAAAAAGGAAAAATACACCTTTTCCGCATTTGGCTGTCTGCCACATCCTCAAAACGCGCATATAACGAATTCGGCTGCGCAGCTCTTAGAGTAAGTGGACGAGACCAGCTAAACTTGCGACTTCATGTATGTCGGCTATTTGTGCAGGATTACACCACAGTTTTGCCTTAAGGCTGTAAGATAAAGGTAAAGATAACCCACCATTAAGGTCGAATGAGCTCAGAAAGTCTGTGTTTTCTCCTGAAGAAAAAGCGACGTTAAGTTGAATAACTCTTCTTCCGTTAACCGTGTGACTACAGCTCAGAGGGGAACAGACGCCGAGCGGCACCGCGACTCACCATTTGCGCCTTGCTACTGTTGGAGTTGTCCACCATCCCTCCTTCCTAGCTTGACTTTATCCCCCTCCTTCTTCTTCTTCTTCTTCTTCTTCTTCTCCTTCCCTCGTTCCTGACGCTCGTCTCACACGCTTGTAAACACACGCACACGCGCGCAGGAGGAGGAGGAGGAGGGGGGCGGCGGAGAGGCCGAGTGCAAGCGCCCGCAGACTGCGACTGATCCGCGGGTGGAGACACGGAGACGCTCCCGTGTTTTCTTCTTGTTTCCGGGGGGAGCTCTCTGCTCGCTCTGCCTGTTTCCTAACCCCCGCGGACGCTCTCGTGGTTTTGTCGTGGAGCAGAACAGGCAGCGACAGCACAGCGGCCCGGTCTCATATCTCGCGTAGCGCTGAGGTGACTCCCCTCACTCGCCTTTTTTTTTTTTCCTCCCCTTCAGTTGACACCCCCCGCGTGGCGCACCAGCAGCAGTGGACCCGCCCAGCGACAGCAACAAGTCCCACTGGTCTCCACCGCTTCTCACCTCTTTATATACAGTCCATGATTCTCACCTCTTTATATACAGTCCATGATTCTTACCTCTTTATATACAGTCCATGCTTCTCACCTCTTTATATACAGTCCATGCTTCTCACCTCTTTATATACAGTCCATGNACCTCTTTATATACAGTCCATGCTTCTCACCTCTTTATATACAGTCCATGCTTCTCACCTCTTTATATACAGTCCATGCTTCTTACCTCTTTATATACAGTCCATGCTTCTCACCTCTTTATATACAGTCTATGCTTCTTACCCAATAATTCACCTGACTGCCTCACACCACATCTTTTGTGTGGAGTAGTTTGTGTAGCTGCGTGGGGCCGTCTACACCACGCGATTAAGATGCAAAGTTAAAACCTCAACTCTTTAAAATGGTTCAGATATATTTGAATTCTCTTCTACTGACATACTACCATATATGTTGTCAATTTCCTAACCTACAAATAGACGTCTGCCATTGATGTTAATGTCATCAGAGAATGGGTATTTGTTTTCGACATATTTTCTAGGTGGTATGAGTTTTTTACCTCACTAAATACTCCAAAACTCACAGTATTGTGTCTTTCTGTTAATGCTACACATGGCAGTGATCATGATGTAATGTTTAAAAGAAATAAAAGTACTATAGTGTACTACAACACCCTGATGGGAAAGAGCCTCGTATAGCTCATGTGACTGTACCGTAGCTCCATGCTGCCCCCCTGAGGTACCAACAACTGCCACGCTCATAATGTGCTCGACTCATTTGCAATGATGGAAAAACGTCATTGACTTATGAGCTCTGCACACAGGCATCGATTAAAATGATACTAAAATATATGAATATACAACAATAAAACACATGGGATTATAGATAAGTGAGTTTTTTTAATATTGCAAACCAATGGACAGTACAATCAAATAAAAAAAGATTAGTGTTTACCATCAGAAAATAACAAATTTAAATTATTGCATTTAGCATTCAATAACACTATATGCCATTATTGTCGCAATGTTGTATAACAAGCAGATTGTCCCAATAGTTGCATAGTACAGGTGAGTCAAGTGTACTTGCTACTGACCACTGGTGTTAAGTGCAATATTTTTATGTACATAAAGAACATCATGCAGATCCGGTGGCCGAGGGGGTTGATACACTTTAAATCCAGCATTAAGCTCACACTTGTATCAACTGACTTACACTTAGTGTAAGCGTAGAATCAGACTTTTTTCCTAAATGGCCCAGATTACAACCACAGAGATAAGTACATTGCTCATGTTATAGTTGTAACGTTTTCAACATCAGTCGTTTTCTTTGCAAAGACTTGATGGATTAGGGAGTTGATCCCAACACTGCAGAGTACAGATCAAGGTTGCAGCTTTTTCTAGCGTAAAATGTCAAACCCTTTCCAGTTCTAACCCTCAAGTGATCAGCTACATCATTTTATAAGACAGTGTTAACATCCCAGCCTAAGACAGTGTGATGTAAGTATAACAGTGGCCACACATTTGTTGTGACTTAAAAACTCTATGCACCTCAACAGTTGTGCAGTTTCCAATTTCTTTTTTTGTATTTTATTTTACTAATGCATGTGAAAGGCAAGTAACTTTCTGGTTTAACACCCACACACAAAAATCTCCTGAAAAGTGAACACTGTCACTTGCTCTGACATTTAACATTTTCTCTTAATGCACAGTTTCAAAATAAACAACAGTAATTAATAGTAAAATATGACACAGGCTGTAACATGACTCAAAAGATTATTTGGAATACTCAGATTATAAAGACTGCCATTTAGGCACACCTTTGTGTCTATTGTGTAAGAAACAAAAACAGACAGTAACACAAACTGAAAAGAATATAACTGATGATGGTAAAGTTTCATTAACTTCCATTCTAATGTAATGTGGTTTATTGTTTTCAACCTGAAACTTATTGTTTTTAATGTAGGCAACAGATTTATTAAAACAAATAAATAAATAAAATAATGTAACTCTGGTCTGGTGTCCACACACAAAACACACGGACACGTTTTCGGGATCAATACCCTGTCCAGGATCTGATGCAACTCTTACAATGCTACATTTCAATCTTGGCAAACGACAGTAACCTCTTCTTGACTTTGATCTATGACAATTTGTTTTCTGAAGCAAATCAAATAAACATAAAACATCAGCATTTATACATATACACATCTTAGCACAAAAATAATTGTCTTAAGATGAATTTACCTGGAATCGTAATCTTTTTAGTTTTTAGGTCTACTTTCTTTTTTGTAGCAGCTTATCTGGAAGATAGTTTTTCCTGGAATGAAACTTATTTATACAATAAGGAGACTGACTCAAACCTAATATCAGTGGTTCTGTCAAAGCACTTCAGTAACTCATCTGCTTACATTTTGTGCCACTTAAACGTGTAGGTATTAATCCAACGAGGGATATCTCACTTTGTAAGACGTGAACATTTTCTGCAGGTGGTGGATGAGTGAGTCTTTCTTAGTATGTAGCAGTTTACTCAAAGAAAACATTTTGGAATTAAAATCGACCATAACTTCTGAAAAAAGAGAAAAAAAAAAAAAAAAAAAAAAGACATATATTAGTAGTCAGGTAATGTAAATGGTGATTTGAGGTGCTTTCAAATAGCAGTAAGTAAACATGTAAAAATAATTATAATTCATTGAAACACATTACACCATGACGTGCTTAGACGTAACCAGAGGAAACAACAGTATCCAGAACTCCACTGGATCAACACAGACATATCCCAAATGCTGAAGTTCTCTCCCACTCAGTTTGAAGCAGTGCATAGTAATGGTTCCTGTAGGTTGATAAAAAGAAAAATAGAAAATAGCTCAAGCTTTGGGGTCACAGTGGATAAGGCTTGTTCTTACATCCATCTGCCACTTCTCGTGGGTTGAGCGTTTCGGTGCACGCAGTCCTGCATGAACAGGAGTTTTGGCTTCAGGGCTAGAAGTCCTCAGGCAGCGCAGCGGGGGAGCAGGGTTAGAAAGAAGGCCTCAGGCACCAGTGACTTGAGACAGCAACTTGAACTGGAACCAAGACTTTGCAGGGGTTTAGGTCACTGCATGCAGCAAGACGGGCCCTCAGAGCAGCAGCAAATGGAGGAGCCCATGGCTTTGGGCGGAATCAGGTCTAGGTCCTCGTCATCAGGGATCTCGTCCAGGCGGTAGCCGTCCTGAAGCAGCTGCCTGCTTAAATCAGGGTGGACCTGGAGAGCAAAGGGAACCTCAGTGACACACAGTCATTGCAGAGTAACCTGACTGAACCTGATCAACATCTCACTGAGGTCCATCTATTTATACTCTGTTGTTATGGACCAAACCTTACTACAACAGTGAAGAAATGAAGAAAAAGAACTCTCTGTGAATGAACCCAGCTGACTTTTGGTTTCAAGTTAGGTTACCAGTACGTCAAGTCATCTGCTAGTTATTGTTAGCATGAAGGTTAAAATGTGTAGTGAGTGCCCACCCGGGCACCTTTTACACATTTAGTTTTTCTCTTTGGTAATATGGAAATTGTTCAGTTATGCAACAACAATGTAAGATAACAGGTAAAACTGAATGTAAACTTAAGATGGAGCAAACTACTCTAACCACATTTCTGAGGTTAACAACTAGCCAGAGGCCCATCTTATTTTTAACTCATGCACAGGTAACTTGTTTTACATTGTTCTTACAATACATATGTATGAATCCAAACATAAACAAGATCTAGCTCCAATCCTACATGTTTCATGTACAGTTACACACATGATAACGTCTTTCATCTGTGCTGTTTCCTATTACTGGCTCATTTTAACCCCTTACTTATTAAAGAAATGTAAATGTGCATAATTTGATGGTACTAATGTACCTCAGAGGTCACAAAGATCAAAGTGTAAAATCGTAATCAAAGCCTTGATAGAAACTAAATTATATTTGAATATGTATAGGTGACCAAAAATACCAACAACATACAAATCTTAGCACACCCACACAGTTGTAACCATCTCAGTGCATCTGAAGAACGTGCCATGGGGCTAACTCACCTCCGCTGAAGAGTATCCTGAGGAATACTGCTCAAAATCGATCTCTTCATCACTGCACAGACAAGTAGAACAGGTTCTGTCATTCTGATGTTAAGAACTGAAATCTGTTGAAACGTGTCCAGCAACTCTACAACGAGGAAACTGCGACTGTCTCCTCTTTCACCTGCTTACACAATTATCATAATAATAATAATGGTAATATAAAATAATAATAATAATGATAATAATAATAAACTTTATTTATATAGCACTTTTATTGACAATGTTACAAGGTTCTTAACAGGGAGAAAACTGAGAATAAAACTATGGAACATGAGCAGAGAATATAGAATAAAAGAGAAATATATAATTAAATCCAAAAAGGAATAGTCAGTCTAAATAAGAGCTAATGTCCACCATTTGTAAAGGCTTTCATAAAAACAAAGGTTTTAAGGCAACATGTAAAAGAAGCTAGAGAATTAGTCCAACTACAATGTTGGTCAATTCCATAATGTTGGGCTCTAATAGCAAAAGCTGGGTTTCCCTTTGTCACCAGCAGGGCCCCATCTGCGGATCTTAGTGGTCATGAGTGCAAGTAGCAGGTCAAACCCTGAAAGGTTTTTTGGTGTGAGGCAATTTAAGTCTTAAACTAATTACAGACTTTTCTTCTAATTAATATTTTTCCTATTGAAAGCTGAAAATTCTAAAATATTTTTTCTGATGAAAATGGATTTGTTTTGATACATTTTCATGAATTTATGCATGTGCTCTCTCAAATGCACTTCATATATACAAATAGAACAAACAATCATTAGAAGATTTATTTATGGTAAAATCAGTTCTGAGTGCATTGTGGATACATCTCTTAAATGTGTTTGCTCATGATAATAACATCATGGGAGACCAAATGAAAAAGCGGAGCCATACAAGTAGAACACACCGAACACACACATCAATGTGCTATTAGCAAAACCTTGTGACCTCCGCAGTGAAATAAAAACATTACTTCCTGCCTCTGCACCACCCCTCACCTGAATCCTGCTGAGGATCTGGGTTTTTTTTGTGAACATATCAGAGATCTTCCGCGAGACATGTCTAAAAACGCATTAAATGTATAGAGTAGGAATTCAACAACAGTAAACACAGTTGGTGTAATCTTACCTGTCTGAGTCCAGTGCAACCAGAGTGTCCTCAGCATGCTGACTCAAAGCAGCGTAGCCCTTGTTATATTTTACCATCCTAAAAAGAGAGAACCAGAAGCTAAACATTGCTGCAAACAAGCCTCTCCTGCATTATGCTGACATGACAACCAGCAACTTCCTCTCAGCCCATCAGGTCTTCTCCTCACCTCTTGGCTCCTTGTCTGGGCTGATGCGTCACCGGAGGTCCTGGTGAGAGGGCTTTCTTCTTCAATGCTTTCCTTGCCATCTCCCTGTGTTTCTCTACAAAAAATCAGAATAGGAGACATATTTTGTGTTGAGTCAGACAGACTGAGTAACGGTCAAGTCAGACGTCATATGTGGGATGTTTACTGAACTAATAAAGGCTTATAACGGCTGCGGTCATCTTCTAACCAAAGATCTTCAATTCGTTCCCGTTCCTCCACCTCCACATGTAGAAGTGTCCTTGGGCAAGACACTGAAGCCCTGTGCCATTCTTATAGCGCTGCACGTAGATGCACTGTATGAATGTGTGTGGCAATAAACTGTACTGTAAAGCACTTTGAGTGGTCACGAAGCCTAGAAGAGCTATATAAATACAGACCATTTACCATATCATTACTAATACTTTGGGACAATCATCCTATTGATTATCTTATACAAAGAACAGTTGACATTCATCACCACAAAAACTGAATTTATGAGAATCTATACTGCAACTTCCAGATAGAAAACACCTACCTAAGGCTATTATCAGTAAAGCCGCTTACAGTCTCACCACAGTGCGTCACTGATATGAGACCACATTTGTAGCACTCAACATTTATGAAACCACACACAGACACACAGACACACTAATATGGGCCTAACATCAGCTTTCAATGCACAGTATAATGCATCCACCGTAAATATGAGCATATCTTGTCCCTTCCTGTTGTTCTGCTCCCATGATCCAACACAACCTGAGCATCATGCAGTCACGCAAGTGATTTTGACCTCCATTAAACAATTCAAGTCTTGATCCAAGAAATACATTTGAAGAATCTTATGGGGATTTCAAAATAAGACTTCAGTATTGTCTATTTCAACGCCTGCTGAAATGTGCACACCAACCCTCTAAGAGGTTTCTAAAGCTGCTTTTAGACATGTACTGACCTCCAGAGAAACTCTAGAGAATCTGGAGAAAGATGCAGATGCAGATGTGTGAATGCAAATGTCTGAGGCAGCCCCCTAGTATAAAGTCTGCAGAAAGTCCAGAGGAACTGATGTAAGAACACAGCAGGATATTCTTTGCAAGATTCACCACAATTGAGCGGGGGGGTTGATGACGTTTGTAACACTTGACAGAAGCAAAAAGAAAAAAGAAAACTGAAAGAAAACAAAGTCTCTGGATGAAAAAGCGGAGCCATACAAGCACAAAACGTTATGAGGGTTTGTGGCGTTAAGAGCCGACACCATTGTCCTTCTTCTCTAAACAAAATCATGTGATAGCCGCAGCGGAATTAATACGTTACATCCTGCCTCTGCACCACATCTTTCCTAAATCCTGCAGAGGATTTGTTGCTATCTCGAACGTGACTGTGCAGAGAATATCCTGCTGCGTTTTGCATGTGTGACAGGCAAACTGCGGAGAAAGTCTGGACCCAATCCTCTGGAGTTTCTCCACAGGACATGTCTGAAAACGGAGGACACTTTGAAAAAGCAGCTACATCAGGTTTGCAAAATCCAGCAAATAGATCATGTATTTCAATCGACAATGTTTTCTTACAACTGTTGAAAACTGGTCAGAAAGTCTAAAAAATCTTTGTGACATTAAGGTTACGATCAACCAATTTTTCTTTTCAGTTCAAAAAACCTTTGGTATATTTTTTTGTATGTTTACTTAATGCATTAAAGTGTTTCTATTAAAGTTGGGTTTTACAAGTAATGCCAAAGAATTTTGAAACAAATGGTCAATAATGACTCGGGAAACCTAGAGGATAAACTCAGCTCAGTTTCACATTAGCTTTCCCTTACCCCAATTGTGTGAACTGGTTTTCAACAGACAAAGAAGTCTGTGAAATGTGTCATGTGTCGTCATGCAACAAATCTTTCACAACTCACGACAGATTCACAAAGCGGTGACTCCATGTGCAAAAAGTCCAACATTACCTCCTCTCCGGAGCCGAAGGTATGTTTTGAAGATGAAAGTAAATGTAATGTGAGTCTGTAGTCAGTCAGAAGTGTAAGGGAGACATTGGTTGAGTTTACAATAAAGCAGTACATTGTGATCAACATGACACAAAGATATCAGGGCCATGAAATTGATGAAAGTAAGCCGTGAAAGACTGTCTTTAAAGTTGAAAAGCATTCCATAGAAACACTGGGATTCAACCTGAGGGCGTCTGATCCATTCAGTGTCATGTGACTCAGGTTCTACTGGCCACACATTCAATTCTGACCCATTTTATCCCACGTAGGACAGTGTTCACCACAGCTGAATTCATAAAAACAATAATAACATTGCGTTATTGGTTAGGATGAGTGAAGAGTGCTTACGTAGCTTGAGGTGGATGGCTGGAACTCTGGACATGATGTAGGGTCCTCTCTTCTCCAACGGCCTGATGCCTCCATCGGCCACCTTAGGTCTTGTTCCTCCACTGGGCCCCTTGGGTTGCAAAAAAAAAAAAAAAAATCAAAGAAAAATCTGTATCTGATGTTCATCTTCACAGCCAAGTCACTGACTCCATGTCATATCTAAATGACAAGACAACAACTCTTTGTTTTAAATCAACTACAATGAGAGATCTTTCATATTCAGCTCAAGTCTGTCTCCAGTGGTAAACACCAACGCTTCAGCAGCCACATACAGATCTGAAGATAGAAAACTCCTCCATATTTACCCAACATTCTCTTGGTATTAGAGGCAGACACCACGGTGTTCAACATGTCACTCCACAGAGAAGTCACAGTCAAACTTCGCTTCAGTGAACTAGTAAAACATTTAGCGGGCATGCCTCATCTAAAGAGCTGTCAACGGGAAACCACAGGCTAGGCTACTTCGTGTGTGAGTAGCGGCTAGCGTTAGCCGGGCTAGCTGGTCTGTTAGCGGACTTTACCGAGTGAACTTGTGGCTGCGGCTCCAGCAGAGTGTCCTTCTCCGGCTCCTCCATGATGTCGTTCATCGTGTTCGTGTGCCTGTCACAGTCCGCAGCAGCACACCGCCATGAGGACACCGCTCCCACCGCAGGGACCCTCTGTCTCCCTCCGAAGCAGGTACACCTCCTCCTCCGCCTCTTCTCTGGGGTCTTCTTCTTTGGGATTTCCTCCTTTTTCCCTTTCTTCTTCGGTGGTGTCCCCCTCTCATTCTTCTTTTGTGTTTATTGGCAGTTAGAGAACCGACTTAGAGGCGCACTACCGCCATCGTATGGACGGGTTTAGCAGTCTCTCTAAAACGTCACCAGAAATGTTGCCTGCAGTTGTTCCCGTTGACCAGACATTAAAGCCACGGGACACTTGATTTCTCTCAGTTCATTTCACACAATGTAATAATATGTGGTCCACTGTTTCTTGTCCATGTGTTTTTGCCTGTTTTATATTTTGCTGCTGAAGTGTTGGTGTTTACCACTGGAGACAGACTTGAGCTGAATATGAAAGATCTCTCATTGTAGTAGTCCACATGATCTATTCTCAAATGAACAATAATCTGTTCTTCCTTTGTTTCCTGCTCTCCATCTTCCAAGCATGTCCTTGTCTATAAATAGTTTAAAAACTATTAATTATAGTTTCACTGTCATAGTACTTCAGCTGACTGAGCTTAATTCCTGATGAGTGTCTAGGGTTGTTTTTACTTTTTCAATCCTCAGTGTTTAACTGCTCAGTATTTCCCAAAATACCAATATGACCCAGAACCCAGAGAAAGTGTGTATCTGTCACTGTACCTTCTATCTTGTACATTATATGGAAAATTTCAGTGGTAATATCTGTCATAAATAATCTGCCAGATCTAATGCTTGAAAGTGCAGGATCACTATCAGATCTGATTTGAAATCATCTAACTTGGGGTTTGATTTTGCTGCTGTAGAGCCCTCGACCAATGCTGGAATTCTGGGTCAGATGGCAATCCTGAAAACTATTTTAATATATTTGCAGGTCGTCTTTATATTAAATATGTGGTGTAGGCTGGCAGGTGATTGGTCAAATAGAAGTAGTAGTTATAGGTTTTATCCTGGGAGGTGAACTATATGGATATTAGCTACATTTGGTACAAAGCATATTTTCTTTTTGAGATGAATCTAGTTTTGTATTTTCACATTTCTAAATTACACCAAATCCTCATCTGCATTTTGTTGTCATGAGGGATCAGTGCAGATGCTCTACTTCGTCCCCATTCCTGTTCTGACAGTTTGTGGATGACCTCTTCACATTTGTATTTCAGACAAACTTTTCACATGAACTAAACTGTTACTAACTAAACATTTCTCTTTCCTGTTTTCAACTTCAGCTATTGCAGCTTGCATTTCCTTATTGACATAAGATATGCAGCAGCCTCTTATCCAGAGCTAACAGTGTAGAAACAGACTCCTTGAGATGTCGTTGTTTTAACTTGGCATGGTTAAGAAGCAGAAATGTGATTTCCCTATGCTTGACTTGGCTGTAACTCCCTGTTTTTACTTGTGCTGTTGATTGTCATGATCAGATCCCTCTTTAAAAGATTGTACTAATTTTTTGTATAAGGGTCTTGGAGATTTCTGGCGGACCGTGTTTTAACATTTGACAGTGAGTGGTGTCACAGCTGACAAGTATTTTAGTTGCTATCACGTCCTACACTCACTCCAATAATAACAAAACTGCTAATAACTCGGCGTAATGCCAGCAGGTTAAGCAGAGATGTAACTACTGACATCAACAGCAGCTCCATGCCATTGTAAGCCCCAGCACTGAAAACACATTAAACGTAACCCAGCCGCCAATTTGGGCTGCTATAACAAAAATGACTGGATGTATAGAATAAGAAGAAAAAAGAAAGAGAAAAAGAAAACAGACGCATAAAAGAATTATTGGTTTTCTTTATTAGGTCCACCATTTTGTACACAACAGGACAACATGGATTGAATCAACAATATAGACAGTTTTGAAAGGAGAGAATCAGGATCTCTTTATACATCAAAAGCCCTGAGGAAAATAGAACAAAACATTTATTCAGCTGCAAGCAAATGGTATCCAATATAATTTATAATCTAATTTCATGAATCAGATAAGGCCAGTATAAGTACACAGCACTGGACAGCATCAGTACTACTGGGTAACAGTTTCTGTAGTTTTCTAAAAGCACAATCACCTTCCCAAGTTAATATGAAGGAGTTCAATATAGTTCAGTCTTACCTGGACAGTCTGCTACTTATCAATGCCCAGCTCTTCTGGTGTTGAGATGCCGAGTTCTGTCAGGGTGGGCTTGAGCTCCTGGATCAGGTATGGATAGATGTCTTTGCAGGGGCCTGCTTTGTCCTGCAAAACCCAGACACGCATTCACACACAAAATCAGCAAAACACGTGGAGCATTTTGTCACAGGCAATATTTGCAAACTGAACGAGTTATTCGTTTCAGACAATTCACTGTCACAATCACTATTCTCTTTTAAATCATTTTTTTTAAAGTTCTGGTCCTGGAACTGTCAGCAGTTTCACCTCTCTGCTGAAGAAAAGGTTACGGCAGTGAGCCCAAACAGGAAGTATCACTCACCTTGACAGCCTCGAGGATGCGGACGGCACTGGCCATGTCATTGAGTCTTCGACAAGCTCGTAGTGCCGAATCCAAGATTTTGGGCTCAGGCACAAGGTCATACCCAATCAGGGTGTTCATGCCTTTAGGTTGAAAGTATTGGAAAATGTCCAGATTAGTTCACAGAAGCACTAATATAATAAAAATGCCATATTACCAATTGGAACCATAACTTTGACTGAACATGATAAACATAAACAGTCACCTTTCCTCAGTTCCCAGGCATCTATGTCTGGTTTGCTGAAGTAAGTGACCCAACGGGCATCAAACTCCTCGTCTGATTCCACCTTAGCATGGGAGTAACATCTGGAGGCCAGTGGAGCTGAAAAACAAGAAGCAGAAACAGACACTATGAAATATTGATTCCTGATTATTATTATTTATACATATGGTTATAAATAGGGTCAAATGTAATTCCAAAGTTATCAGAAAATACAAAGCTACTAATAGATGATGTAAAGAGCTTCACTGTGATCAAAAACAGTCAAACTTCTCTTATTGACTATTCAGGCTTATTGACAATAACAGACAAGATCAACGCCCAGCTCAAAAGAGAAGAAGGGACTTTTTGAATAAAGACTGGGAATTAAGGATAAAACTATTCTTCCTACAAATGTCTAATGATGCTGTTCTTATAAGAGGAAAATAAAATACTGCAGGTCGTTATTCAGACACACATTTTGCAACTAAAAGAACGCACTGTGTAAATCCTAATTCAATGATCTACCACAAAATGAGGAAACACTTTTTTTAAAATACAGAACAATGTGTCTTTACGGAAACTAAGCGTTACAACAGTACTTGTTCAGTGCTTCAAGGAACCATGAGATCATATTATACTTACCTGTGAAAGCATATCCACATAACATACACACATCTTTTGCTTATATACCGTCATTGTATGTGTTCTAATACAGTACATATGTTTTTACTATTTGAATAACTCTCAGTTGTAGTAGTAGTCATATCATTTTGAACATTACTTAGGTGGAGGTTTAAAAAAAAAAAAAAAAAGTTTAGTGGGTTTTCTGCCTCTCCCTGCACTGTGTGTTATTTGTCTTGTTATTTTCTTCTATGTATTCCTGTACAAAAATATACAAATAATACAATCAAGTAGCATCTTCAGATACACTGCCTCACTCAGGGTGTTTGATGTGGAGTCTGTTGACGTGTTGTACATGATACAGGACCAAACATTAGTACAACATTAAACCCACAGTAAGATGCAAATACACAAAGTATTATATTGTTGTTGTGATGACATCACAGAATGCATGTAAATATGGACTGGCACAGTCCTACCGCCACATCTCTCAAATCCACCTTGATTTCATGTCATCAGTATGAGTTGATCTGAGCGGTTCGACCTGTAGATGTCCATGTGTCCCACAGTGTCTCACATGGTCAGAGCTGGTTCCACTTTGTCCTGTAACGTGGTGATATCTGCTGCCTGGGAGCTGCAGCGGCCACTGACACATGATCAAACTCAGCGGGGTCATCACAAGGTCGAGGCTTCTGAACTCAAACCCCCGTCGCGCCTCCTCAGTAAGAACACTCCAGGAGATGCGACGCGTCGTGAAAACATTCCTGTCCCCTCCACGAGGATCTCACCTCATAAGAACACTTCAATGTCACCCTGCGTTAGCTTCCCCACACACACACAGCTGCAGCTAAGCTAAGCGTCTAGCCGGCTGAGCTAAGTTTAGCCCTTTTCATAACATCGGTCATTCATTCAAACGCCATATGTGAAGCGGACAGTCCCACCTGAGTAGCAGGCTCGTGACCGAGTCACACTCCGGCTCCCCGCGGCTGACAGACGGAACACGGCTCGGAACATGGTGCCGCTGTGGATGCTAACAGTCCCGGTGCTAACGAGGGCGACTGAGGACGGACTAGCACGGCGAGCTGTCACGTGACTGACGGAGAGAGCCGAAGCCTTGTACGTCAGAGCTGCTGATTGGTCCGATTCCCGAAGCGATGGGTGAGTATAGAGCAGATGTTTCCGGTTGTTTTTATATAACAAACACCACTCGACCAGTTTGTGACTTTCTGCTGTTTGCTCTTCTGTATGTTGCATCTTACTCTGTATGATGAATAATCTAATTTTAATATGTTAAATTGGAGCAGCACCTCTTCTTCAGCATAATCACCTGGATAAAGTCAAAAAATGCAGTTTGATAGGCGTGAGGCACCAGCAGGGGGAGCTCCTGATTTAAACTACATTTCAGTTTTCAGTTAATAGCAAAACAAAGTTGTTTGATTCAATTGCCCAAATTCAATTAACTTCTAAAACAAGTGCATGTGAGGAGATCTGATGATTATTTTAGAAGAAAAATCTTTATGTATTTAATAAACGTACAAACAATCATGTATGTATGATTTTTAAATGTTGATGGATATTGACATTCAACCATTTGCTTTTATTTAGTGAATATACACACACACACAACAAAGATATAGAGGAGCAGAGAAACGGATGTAAGCAAAGTATAGTGGATTATGCTGTGGTGTGTATCTGTTGTTGATTCAGCTTGAAGTGTGTGTGCGAGTGTGTGTGTTCCTCGTGACATGGTAAACTCTAATCCGTCCTAAGCCCAGGGCACCACAGTAGATATCCATTAGTGTAATATGCTGCTGCATGCCTTTCCCTCTCTGTCTCTGCCTGTCTCTTTCTCTCTGTCTGTCTTGGACTTTCCTCCATGCTATAGCTTCACACTGGTGCTTGAAATATGTGCAGTGACGTTGCATGTTTTAAACATTAAGTTCAAAGTGCCTTTAAAACCAGAGGTCAGGATAAGCTCTCTGACCTCTAACGTCGCTGTGGAGCAGCACAGGAGAGCATGTGTTCTCTTGCATTGGGTGAATACAGTAGGTTGTGGCATTACATTACATGTATGTTCACCGATGAGCTGTGAAAATATTATCAATCACCTAAAAAATGCCTTTTCAATATCTGAATGAATGTGCATACAGATTAAATTGGTGTTATCAAGTGCATTAGAGCTGCTCATCTGGTCACTTCAGGTCTTCATTTCAAGTAAATTTACCATAGTGGTCTAAAGCATTGTGTTATACCATGAAAATCATTCTCTCACAATATTAACTCTATCCGTGTTCAAGTGTCATAAGAATACAAAGAACGCTCAGTTTGTTTTCTACGTTTATGATGGTTTTATTTATTTTACAGTGATGGTCACGGTCTGGAAAGGTTAAGAGACATGAAACAAAAAGAGTGGCACGATTGCAGATAAATAGGGGCCTCTCATCGGCGTGGCCTACATATGTAGCATGCAGTTGCCATGTTAGGATATTTTTGGTTTGAATATATGAAATATTCAGTGTCTTCTAGCCGTGAATGGACATGCATAACACATTTAACACACTACTTGATGTTGCTCGGGTTGAAACACGGGTAAAGCGGTGCGGCCTGGTATGTGAATAGATAAATATCCTGTTGAACTATGATTCCTAGCAACGCTCCACCTCCTTTTCATTATCAATCACAATGTCAGCTTTTATGATTAATGTCCAATATTTGTCTGATGGTTAGGATGTCATTAATCAGACAACACAAAATGCAGTGTTTCACACATACATAGAGCCTTATGATACGTTTTTGATAGCTTGTGAATTACAACACATTGATTAAAAACTCAACCCTTGCTTTTGAATGGTTAGATTTAGCTCCCTGAGGAAAACGTTCATACTATACAATCTATGGCATCAAATTGTTTTAATACTGCTCCATCAATAGGGTTGATACAACACTGGCTGCTCCAACGGTCACATTTTCATCCCAGTGGCTCAAATACTCAAAATACCTTGGTCTATTATATCTTTAAGATCCAAGCAGCTCCATATATACATTAAATCATTGTATTTAAATAGTGACCTTGGTTATGAACATGTGAAGGTTTCATGTTCATTAGATTAACGGTAAATTGCTGTGGCCTTATCATGTAGCATCACATCATGACTGATGAATAGACAGTGTGTCTTACATTGACAAAACCAAAATTCTGACACGGGGGTGAGGACATGTTGTGCATACAGCTTATATTGCACGCAGACTTAGAAAAAGAGTTATGAAGAAAACAGGACACGTGATCTAAAATCAATGAAGCCATATAAGAATCACTGCGTAGTGTGGAGAGAGTTTGAGTGAATGTCAAGTGACAGAACTATTATTTCTTCACAAAATTAAAAGAGTGACATCACAGAACAACACTGATAATAAGGAGGGGGGACTGAGGGAGGTGACGGGCAGGGATGAGAGGGATGGGGGCTGAGGAACGTATGATATGTGTACATGTGCAAACTTCTACAAGTATCACAATAAAAGCATGATTTTCACAGCGCCTGCTGTTGAGCCAAGGAAGTGGGCGCCGTTGGTGTTGGGTGCTGGACTGGGTTTTGGTTGATGATGTTATTTTCAGGGTTTCTGGGGTTAAAAGAGGGATGAAAGCACTTTTTTGCCGCAGTTTAGCCACTGCCCAACATCTTCGTCGCACGCTGGTTGGCCTCGTCGATCCTGGTCTTGTTGGAATCGGCCTGAAAGGAGAAAGACAAGCTCAGGTAATGGTGGAGGGGGGGCAACGTTGATAAAAATTCACATGCTGAACTAATGGACAAAGGATGAATCAGATATTCTCGAACGCAGGCTTAATCTGCTCAGAACCACCACAGCTCCCTCAGCTGTTACATAGTCTAATGCTCAGCATGTAATCCATACAAGATATCGGCTAAATGCTATAATGTGCACATTATATTAGCTAATTATTTTCTCAGCAGTTAGCCTTTCATTTACCCACATTACAGCCCCATTTTCCCTGAGGCTCCTTGTGGGCGGCAGCCTGCTGCAGACTCTCTTTGTCTGGTTTTTTTTTGCTACGTACTTTTGTTGTTTTTTAAGAATTAAAGGGATTATTAAGTCTATCTTATCTTATATTTTCCTTAAGGTATAGTGTTACAACTACAATTTCTAACTTTATGTGTAAATCTGATGCTGTAAATAAAGCATTAATGTCAATATGCTCATAAATGTTTTCACAATTTGAAAAAGTATTTTGAAGCTTACAATACAACAAATGTGTATTTTTAAAATCTTACATTTACATTTTATTTCTAAAATCTTGAAGAGTCACTCTTCTAATTGGCACCATCTTTGTCCAACTTTGCATGAAATGCTTGTTTGCTATTCCAAAAACTTAGAGAGGTTGTTGCCTAGTAACAATTACAATTGACTTGTATCCACCAATAACCATGAATTTAAAATTCTCTGATATTCTTCCATTCACTGGTCCACACATCCTTGCACATACCTTCTCCATGATCCTGTCAATCTGGCGATTCTGCGTGTCAATTTCCTGACCCATGTCCAGGGCCATGTGACGCAGATTGCCGATGATGCCGCCCACCTGCTCCAGGTTCTCGTCCATCTCATTCTCCCGGGCATCATCTGTTACCCTGGTGCACATAGGAGGAGGAAGTAGGATTAATTATTGGCCAGTGTTGTACGGCCCCACAAAACTGTACAGTACAATATGGTACAAAACACGTGTGTGTGTGTGTGTGTGTGTGTGTGTATATATATATTTATATATGTTATATTTATTTATATAGCAAAATACATGACTCTAAGATTGAAAAGGCTTGAGTCATATATTGAAGTCAGGAGCCCTTCAGTGTGTCACAAAATAATCAAAATCAACACAAATTCATCTCATTTTTGTTGGATCTACAATTTTTTCCTATTTTCTACATAATTTTAGTACTATTGGTTTTTATAGTATTGATTCATTCAGTCTGTAAGGGTCTAAACATCTTTATTGATTTGATTTGTATTGATGCTTTGTTCCAGCAGTATGAAACAGTATGGAAGTGCAGGATAGTGACTGAGATATTGTCCAAAATAATAATATTATATAATATTATAAAATAATATACAGTGATGGTGAATGATATATTTTAGTTTGAAGGTCTAAATCCATTGTCATATAGCACTGTAGCTGTAAACTATCACACACTCAAATACGGGCAAACACAAGAACACAGAACTAAGTGGGAATGCTAGCTACACACACACATACACAGACAAAGAGGGTCACACGCAAACCCACACCTACACACACACAGAGTGAACTTACCTGCGGATGAAGCCCCCACTGATGGCCATCTGTTCACGCTCATCCACCACTCGAGCCCCTGGCTGGCTGTTAACCACGCCATCCTGGTTCGCTCCCCAGGCCTGGCCACCGCCCTTAATCCTGCCACACACACACTTCAGTCAGGGCCAGTGAAACTGTTGTCTTGTGTATTTGTGTGTATGAGTAGATGTATTTGTTTGTGTACATGTATGTGTGTGCACTTGTTTACTCATTTGAAAATGTAACCAGGACTAGGTGCACTGTGGGTGTGTGTTTAAGTGTACATCGGCCACAGTGTGTGACATGTGTATGGGTTTACGTGTTTGTGTGCGTGTGCAGTGAAGTGTTACTGTGTATGTCTATGGAAGTGCATGCTTTCTAGCAACTTACTATGAAAACATATAAATGAATATATGTTTAGAATGCATTGAATATTATGGTTTCAAGCAAATCCGCCTATGAAAAGCAACATGGCAGGTATGATAAAAGTCCCATACATGCATCAGCAGTGTGTTAGTGAATAATTGATCTCACATGCAGATCAATTGAATCTGAGCACAATAAGCTCCCATGTGGCTTGTGTTAAAAAGTGATTGAGACTCAGAAAACTCTTCCACAAGCACAAATAGAAGAGCACAAACACAGAACACAGTGACCAGACGAGACACACAAACACACACACGTGCAGTACATGTAAACATGCAGAGTGAGAGCACATGCAAGGCAGAGACATTGACATGGGAAAGGAAAACATGTAGAGAGGGACAGGATCAGATACATGTTGTATCTGTCAAAAGAAAACCAAACAGTTAGATCCACTGTGGAGAACCAACCAAAAAAATAAAGTAAAATAGTGAACGTGATCATTTTTCATGCAGGAATTTAACACAGTAGCTGTGATCAGCCCTTCATTTCATCTCTGGATGCACATTAGGATAATACACATACAGTCAAATAGTTGAATGTAATTCTTAGCATTTGTTTTGTTATGCATGGAGTGCCTTATGGATGGAAGTCACCACTGAGAACAATACAATTGCTTTTTACAACTCTATTTTTTCTCATTCCAATAAAATATAACGTTGTTGTCTTGAGGCAGTGAAACACACCCATCAGACCCTCCAGACAGTTTATAACAAGCCAGAATTGTTTTTTCCTCTGCTATTTGACTCAGGGCTGCCATGTAAAGAGTCTAGATCAGATGAAACACATGACATAACCACAGGATTACATAACGAGTGGCTCATGACGGGGAGGACCAGAGAGCTATAGAATAGACAAGATCTGAACCCAAAACACCACCACATGTGTAAAGCAGGACCCAAACGGACCAAATGGATGCAGGGATCCCGAATATTAACTTCATACAGAAAACAAAAGGTTTCAAATCAGGTAGTTTCTATAAAAAACGGACACCACCGCTTATAAAATGACTCCTGTGATGCAAATAAAGCAGATTAGTTACATGTGCTACTGTCTGCTCAGCCCTATTTTGGAGAAAAGAATAATCTGTTGTCAAAATATCTGATGATGATATTTATTCTCCATGGACATTATTATTGTAGTAACACACAGAGAATGCAAAGAAAAAGAATTACAAAAATGTCTCATTCAAGGTCAGATCTAACATAAAATATCAAGGATTTTTTCATATGCTGCACCATTGAGGCAATGCTCCATTCATTTCAAGAGCATGCACTAAGAAATAGGTTTCTGTGTTATTCTACCAAATAACCCCAATACAGCCCTTTACTGGTTGGTTCGTCACTTGTGTTTTCTATAGCTCTGAGAGAGAGAGTACATGTATTGGCCCCAGAGTATAGTGAGCTCAGACATGACTCGATAACCACAGTTTGGCTGTGGAAGGCCAGTGAACAGATCACGCAGGAGTTTGGCAAAACCATGCATTAGAAATCCATTGAGTGTTCTTTTAAAAACAGTTTGCCTAACTCATGCATGATATTTCATTATGTAGGACAGTCCTGAGGGAGGAGAGGGAACAGCCAACCCAAGCATCTTTAGTTTAAGTAGCTCTCATTGCTTGAAATGTCTCTTCTGTGTGCATTTTTGATTTTGCTAGTTTCTGTACTGGACCCTCAATAAGTTGCATGACCTTTCACATCACCCCAAAAAAAGCTTATATATATATTTAGAAAATTAAATCACTGTACCGTTTCAAAGATGTATAAAAATATACATTCAAGAATTAAATAAAAATCAGACTTAAAGGTTCAGTGTGTAGAATTTTGTGATATCTAGTGGTGAAGTTGCATGTTGCAGCTAAACACCCCTCGCCTCAGCCTCCCCTTCCAAACATGACAGAGAACCTGTGGAAGCCTTCAGTTGTCATAAAAACTCAAAGTCCAGTCTGGACTACTCTAAAAAACATAGCGGCACCCTAGAGAGGACCCACTCCCAATGTAAATATAAAGTATTTAATTATAAAGGGCCTATTCTAGGGTAAAGAAAAAAACTATTCATACAATTTAGATGAAACAAACTAGTAAAAACATCACAGGATTATTGTACATTAAATCCCTTCCAATAGATCCCTTTCACCTAAATCTTACACACTGGACCTTTAAAAATAAATCATTAGTTAAACATTTTGTATGTTCTTGTGTCTCTGAGTTTGATGAGAAGATACCACTCTCATATTTGTGCACTAAATATGCAGCTCCAACCAGCAGACAGTAAGCTCATCAAAAAGACTGGAAAGAAGAGGAAATAAATATAATACTGTATTATTGTTTATACTATATTCCTACTCAGCTACGTTTTATTTAATATATTGTATTATAATGCAATTTTATTTTATATTCTCACCTGCATTATTTATTTCTATTTCCTGTCTTGGCCTGTATATATTTCTATTGTTGGTTGCAGCCACTGTAATGAAATCCAATTTCCCTTGAGGATCAATAAAGTATGCATGAACATGGAACTGTTCACAGATTTAAAAAAAAATCCATCCAACAGCACTTCACACATCTTCTACATCTTGTTGAACTCAGTGACAGAGGTGTAGGTCAAGAAATTTGGTTTTGATACATATGAAAAACAGATTTTCGAGACGATGGTAGCTGTATTGTGTTAGCTGAGGCTAGCTATATGCTCTGTTGTCAATCTGCAGGAATGTGCTAAACTAACTGTCTGCTAGCTCTTCCTACATATTGGCCATGCAGGCATGAGAGTGATATCGATCTCCTCATCCAGCTAGAAAACAAGTTATTTTCAAAATATTGAACTACAACCTTAAATTGGGTTTGTGATCTTAATGACTCATCAGATTGTTTTGCTCATGGTACCACAATATATTAGTATTGTAGAAGTAAAATACTCTAATTCCATGTACTTGGTTAGAATAGCAGCCAGTATTCAATTTTTATGCAAAATAAAATATTTCATCGATTTCAGGAAGTCTAGGCCTCCTGAAATCAATGAAATATTTAATTTAAAATCAGATACCTTACTTTTAATGTATTGCAATCAATTATTTATATAAAACATAAAAAAGCAACATCAATAAACTTCCAAATGGCTGCAAAATGTGGAGAAGGCAGCTAGTTGATTTCTCCTTTGGTTGGACTCAGCATGATGCAGCATGCTGCGGGGTGTTAGGGTGGGGTTTGGGGGGTGGTGGGAGCTGTGGTCAGATCCCTGCTGATGCTGCTACCTGCTGGAAGAGAATCTCCCATCCAATGTGGAATGAAGGGCTTTTGAGGACAGACACAGCCTTGGAGGCTGGAGAGCAAATAAAGTGGCATTGTTGTGCATGTGTGTAGTGTTCATGCATGCACGTTATATTTCACTCAATCAGTCTCCCCTTAAGCAAACACACCCCCACACGTGCATGCAGTGCTGGTGCCTGTTCAGAGAGTGTGTTGTTGTGGCTATGGGCCTGACTGCTCACACCACAGGTCACCATGCTCTATGCACCAGAAGCAGGCAGACGGAGAGAGAGAGAGGCAGGTATAGGCAGGCACTGAAACACATGCAGTCAGGCGACACAGGCAGCACCTACTTGTTACAGGGACATGAACATAGACCACAGAATTGTCCTAGATTGTTCAAATTCTTTTCTGCATCCTTCATGTCCTTATTGATTTGGTCCATCCCCTCCTCGATGCGCTCCAGTTGTTCTGATTACCAACACATTGTCATTTTTTCCAGCAAAAGTACGAAAGCACGTGAGAAGAGAAGAGAGAGGAGGAGGTCGTGGGTGGAAGGAAGGAGGGAGGGGGTGTAGAGAGGGGGGGGAGACAAAGGAGAAGAGACAAAAAAAGACATTGACTGTGGCAAGAGAGACATCAGACATCACCACCACCACCACCACCAGCACTGGACAGGCAAGAGCTCACGGCTCCTGGCCGGTACCTACTTTTTAATACATGGGCATATCAGACCACAGCATTGTCCTAAATCTTTTAAATCTTTCTCGGCCTCCTTCAGGTCTGCGTTCACCTTGTTCATGCCCTCCTCCACACGATCAAGTTGTTCTGGTAGGGACAAAGGCATGAGAGCAGTGAAATAAAGTTGACTGGTTGGTTTTTGGCGCTCTACGCTACAGGCAAGGTGTTTTGGCTAGAGGCAGAAGGCAAAGCAGGCAACAAGCATGAAGATTACCTAAAAACCAAATGATTCCTTCATCTATTGCTTTGCATATGTTTTTTTTCCCCTTATGATTCTATGTTTCTGTTTCCTACCTCCATCCAGAGGAACATAATTGTTTTCTCAGTAAGTAATTCATCTGAGTGGCAGTGGCAGCATGCTTCCTCCAGCTGCATCTGCACATGAAGTTGATGTTATCTTTGCCACTGTGACTGACTGCACACCGATGAAAGCAGAGATGAATGACAGAGAGAGTAAAAGACAAGGCTGTGTTGATGTTAAGTCACATCACCCACATTCTGAGGTAAACCAGAAACTTACCCATTTAAAACGTGGTAGGGGTTTTAAAGAAGAATGAGGAAATATTGAAAATCATAAAATGACGAACAGCATCATCAGCCGTGCACGTTTCCTCACTCAGGTGATCGAGAGGTTAGAGAGCCATGAAGAGGCTCTGATTCAAGGTCATGTCCTCTCCTTGGCTTTTTAATGGTTACAGGGCAGCATAGCAATCATTTCCATCAGAGCAAAGGGCCACTTTGTCTTCCAGAAGAAACTCATCACATATGATTAGTCACACTGTAGTGCTGAGGACACTGATGATCACAGAGTGCTGGTTCAGCTGCTGCAATACAGTAGATCATTGGTTGAACTCATCAGCAACATGCGCTAAGTGACGACCTTGTCATCAGTGACAGCATGCAACCAAGTGCATTTATTAAAAACTACTTCCGGTACTCTACTTATATTTATCTAAATAAAGTATTTAAATTTAATTCCACTACATGTTATGCTTCAGAAGTCAAACTTTGTACTCCTTATCTGACAGCTATCGTTTCCATTAACGTTTTTCGCAATGTTTGACAAAGTGATCTGGATCTGCCCTCTTATCTGAATCCACACCAAAATGTAATTCTCCCCTGACCCATATCACATCCTTCCAACAGTAACATGCTTTTATTTTGACATGCCTTGATAGATAGATAGATAGATAGATAGATAGATAGATAGATAGATAGATAGATAGATAGATAGATAGATTGATAGACAGATTACTTTATTCATCCCCGGAGGGAAATTAAGTCGTCATAGCAGCATATTACTAATGTTAATGCATCAACATTAGTAATAATATATTAATATTACACTCACAAGGGAAATTTTTCTGTGGAAATTTCCTTGTGATAGTTTAAGTTTTAGTTTGTAGTTTATATATACTTATAGCTTTATACTTAAAGGGTCTGCACATATATACGTTGTTTTTACTTATTTTACCTTATCCAATTAATTCGATCTGGAAGACAATAATAAAATATGTTCATACATAATATACATAAAATGTTCATGTTTCATACAGATGCCCACTTTGATTAACAGGGGACGGACACATCAGCTACAAAACAGGGGACTGGAAAACTACACTAATAAACATCTGCTCCATGTGATAACTCCTGAATTGTTTTTAACATCTGACCAAATAAATGGCATAAATGTTTTATAAAGACATGTATATAAGTGGGATAAGTTATTGCAGGGGGAATGCACAAGAGAGAGCAAGAGAGGCATTGTTTATCTCTGCAGGATAGCTGAGAGGCAACACTTAACAACCTGACTCCTCCCCTTCATTTGAGGATTATCATGTAAGGGCTTTTCCTCTCCTCTCCTCTTCTCTCCCCTCCTCTCCTCTCCTCTTCTCTCCCCTCCTCTCCTCTCCTTTCCTCTGACAGAGAGTCAGTCGCAGGTTTAACCAGTTAGAAAATTAATGAGGACCCAGTGCAAAACACAGAAATTGCCACAGCAGTCATTCTGACTTGTCCAGGTAGGAAAGGCACAGATGTTAACAGCATGATCAATAGCTCTGTTCCATTTAAATGTCAGAGGAAGTCATGACAGTGCGCCTGAAACTCAAGCAGCTAAATGGCATTAAGCTACAATTAATTAATTAGAGCAATGCTGGTAATACTGAGCCGTCAATTTCGCATTTATTATCTATGTGCTGCATTCCTAGTGTTTACATCTCCATCTTGAATTGTAATTCGCATTTAGGCATGTCTGCACACAAGACTCAAAATGTATTCAAGTCAGATCTTGAATTTGATTCTTCACATTTTCTAAAAAGGTTTAAATTACCTTAACTCCTCTGCAAGACGTAACTCTTAAGACTGAACTGTCCACCAGTTAAATTTACTTGCTCACAACATCAGCTTGAAAATGAGAAACTGATGTGTACAAGTTGTTTTGCTGTGCCATTTACTGATGTCTAATTAAATCTATTATTTGGTTGCCTCATAACTGAACATTGGTTCAAAGAGTCACTGGGACAAAATGTGATGCTCAAGTCCCATAATGGAGATGTAAACTTACCATCTCCAGGTATTCATTTCAGCCAATTAAAATTTCATCATAACGAACCAAAATCAACCATGTTCCTCGCACATCTACAACCTGCAGGAGCTGCAATCAAACCAGTGATTTGTGCGCCGAGCAAAAGCATCGTCAGTTGCTACATGTATGAGCTCAGTGAGGCATAGCTGCAATCCATCAGCCCTGACTGAGGTGTAATTTGGGTCAACGTGCATGTAACAGTCACACAGGGAGCAAGTCATTAGCTGTAGTGAGACCTCCAGCACAGGTAATACATCACTGGGAGACAGTCCTCCTCCTATGTATGAACTGTGTGTGTGTGTGTGTGTGTGTGTGTTTGTGTGCGTGTGTGTGTGTGTAAAGGGCAGTTGGACGCCCTGTTTACAGCTCGACAACATCCAATTAATTATCACAGGCATATAAATTACTTTTTTTGGCAATGTATGAGGGAAGTCCTGTAAATATCATGGAATATACTGTATGTCAGAGACAAATAATGCAGAGGCATGTATAGTTCAGTAGTAACTGTAGGAGAGGAGATGGAGATGTAGGGTAAGTAGAAAGAAGAAGAAGACTGGTGGGAGGGGGGTCAGGTATAGAGGACATAAACCGAGGTAATGTAAATCTGTGTGTAAATCTGGCATCCTGTGACATAGCAGCTCGTGCACCGTGGCAGCCGTCACTCCCGATGGAAGAGGAGAGAGAGAGAGGCAGCAGCTATCTGTTCCTTTGACAGGCCAATTAGGCTGTTCTGTCATGCATGGAACTATATACAGGACACACACACTATGAATAGATGCTCCGCTACACCCAATAAATGTACCTTTAATCTGCACAGAAAACACCAGCCCCTGTACGGAAAAATATCAGTTTATACCCTTGCAGGTATTAACTGTTATTTTTATCACAAGTCTTCTAACATTAGTCTTTTTCTATTTAGCAAAACTTTTCAGACTAAAATAAGACTTTGAAATTATCGTGTCAAGCTTGTTTGTGGGTCAGACAAACTTAGCCGCTTCTCTCCTCTTTTGTTCATGTTTATCTGTTTTTTTCACAAATAAAGCTTTTAAAGGTTTAAAAACTTGATTTGACTCAAATCATCCTTTTGTGTGATCTTACACTTTATCAGACTTCAGGATTAGGATGCACCAGCTTTATAAATCCATTGCTATGCTTGTGAGTAAACTCCCTCCTACCTATCTTAGTAGAAACTACTTATTTTCAAACTCCTGATCTGCCAAATTGGCTTGTGTCATTAAAACCTCAGAACTGTGCTCGCCCGTGAAAATGTCAGTCATGTGTAAAGAACCTGTTCAGTGTCAATCACCAGTGTTAACAGGAAGTTACATCACTAGCTCTGGCATGGATTCAAAAATAAATGTATATTTAGCTTGACTGCTGACTTTATGTAAATGCAGGTATAGTTAGGTGTATGTTTAGTATTTGTGCAGTTTAGAGTAAAAGGAAATATCCAATGCTGGTTATGTAACCAACATTATGAGACGTTTAACCAAATTTACAAAATGTTTTGTTTTTGTAAAATGTGGTATTCTTTTGTGAAATCAAATCTTTAATTGCTTGATAAAGTGTGAGATCAAATGTGTGGTCCAAATTCCATATATTAACAAACTTTCATTAGTTTTGTCAGTGAAGCTACATCTGGTGGTTCTGGGTGTAAATATTTAACAACTAATCGCTAATGTAAGAGCAAGATTGTGGCAAAACACATTTCAATTTAGTGATGTGTAAAATATCTACTTAATTGATTCTGGTGAAATTAAACTCAGTCATCATCAGTTGTAGCAGAATGCAGCATAACAACGCTTTATAATATTTTCTATTACATCAAACTTTTTTTCCCCCTAAATTTTGGTTGAATACTTGTCAGAAAATCTTACAAGTGAGGCAATCTGAACACGAAAAAACCCTCTAAGGTTGAACTGTCCACAGCTCATGTCCACACAGGCCATTACCACTGATGAGAGGTCACAAATAGACACATTAGTTAAGTGGTGACAAGCAAACGTGGTTGGGAACTATGCTCCTGTTATTCTTAATGAATTGAGCCATAGACTTGGCAGACCTGGAGAGGATGTGGAGGAATATAAGAAACATTGTATGTAAGTGTGTTACCAGTCAAAGTTATAGTTGTTTTACCTCAAAGGAAGAACAACATTAAAATATATGTATTACCAGCTGACCTCTGACCTCTCAGTCAATCAGGTGCCTGGAAAACATGTCAACCAGGTTTCAGAGAGTAGGTTAGCAACACTGATCTATTTGTTCTATGACTTATAAGCAATAACATTAGCTGAAATATAACCAACATAAAATTTTAACTCAATATACACTAGAATAGGAAGAATAATAGGAAAGCAAAGCAGATGGCTAGCTCAACAGTCACATCCAGTATAATAATGTTAGCCTAATTAGCTCACATTTAAGTTCAGGTTATATAGACTTGGCCAAAGCTTCAATAGAAATAAGCTATTTTCCTGCTTTAGTCATTATTAAACCATAAAAGTTATTATTACTGGTGTTGACTGGGACTCTACAGTGTTATACCGGATGCACCGCTGAGGGCGACTCTCCCATTATACAGCGTAATACAGCAGCAGGGGAGAATCGGTACAGTCGAGCAGATTACCAGTGAAAGCCAACGTTAGAGAGACAGTGTTGAGTGATCTTTCCCTACCAGCTTACCTCCCTGCTCATCCAGCATGACCAGGGTCCTGATGCCGGCATCTTTGCTCTAACAGACAGATAAAGAGGGGGGAAGAGGAAAAGAACAAAGAGAAGTGAGGAGGAAAGAAAAGAGGAATAAATGTGACAGGTCAGTGAAGGTCAATTGTGCAGAATAGAGCAAAGCTATCACGACTGCGGAGGTGGGTCAAATTACAATTTGAAATCATTTTTTCTTTGTCCGGCACAATGGGAACAGATCAACCTTTAAAGAACAGCTTGACACTTTAGGACATGTAGAGGATTCATACTGATCACATATGAATATGATGAATATGAAGCTACAGCCAGCAAACATCTCACCTGGCTCTGTCCAAAGGTATGAACATGTGCTGTGACCTCTAAAATGCACTAAAAACACATTTGATCTCATGTTTCTGCAACCAACATTAAGACATGGGTTGTTTGGTACGGTGGCAGAGATGTCTCACATACACATTAAGTGCAAAAACCATAACACGCTGCTTGGAGCACCAAGAAGGTAAAAGTAATAACATTTGTTATCTCCCTTTTGTAACATTGCACCTCGAATACACAAGCATCTCATTTTAAGCGGTGACTGACTTGTCTGGGTTTTCACAGACAACGGCTATAACTCTGCTCATTTCATTGTCAACATTCTTTGTCACTCACTTCTGTTGGGGTTGTGTTTCCATTGTGTGGCTTTTGCATTTGTGTTGTAGCCTTAGCATTCGAAATGTCAGCCACAGTAGTTTAGGGTGATTCAGTGCAGCCGGCACAAAACTACAGTTTGTGGGATTGCTAGAAAATGATGATCAGTGTCATCCTAGAACGTTCAACACCACCAGATGAACAGGGCAGATGCACATGCTTCATACACGCATGCGACAGATATTGTCCAACACTGTTTTCAACCCTTTTTTGAGTCGCTTCGGCATTTGGTCCCAAGACTGGAATATTGAGCTTTCCTGTAGGATTTTCCGCCATTGATTCAGGGCAGGATTTTCACCAAAGGGACGTGCACGTGCAGGTGCTTAGTATAACAGCCAATAGGACCACCCCCTCTCTGAACTGCACTGTGATTGGTCAAAATCTCACATCACAGGAAAGATTGGAAACAGGAAACAGAGGCCAGAGAAGGTCACAGATGTCTAGTTTTCTGTCAGGTCACTTAAGTTACATGATGCTGAAAGGATATCATGGAATTATTGCTCAATAAGGCCAGAAATATATTACCTACCCCAGCTTTAAATGGTCAAAGTAGAAGATTTGCTTTGTTACTGTTTTAAAACTACTCAAAAATAAGAATCAGAGAAAGACTTATTCATAGATATGTTAATTAAAAACATGTCCTAATTATGTAAATAGAACACTGAATCCAGTCACAATTATGTTTCCTATAAAACTATATTTGATGTTGCAGTTTAGCTGTTTAAATATATTATATTACAGACAAGGTTGTATCGACAGATTAGGGCATACAAAAGTTCCTAAAACCTCAGAGAAGAAATACAAATCTGTAGAGAAAATATCACACTGTCATAAATATATTTATGCATGATTATGCTCAGATTCTCTGGATAAACTCGTCCACCAAATGGCATGTGCTATATTTGTTATGTTCACTGGGCTGGTACCAGAGATTTGTTGACAAAGCTCCAGTAATGTAACATTCTGATTTGGCTTACGGAGTTGGCACATGCACAGACACACAAGAACACACACACACACACAGAATGTGCACTCACTCCACAGAAATATATGCAAATGCGCTGTTCTGTGTCTATGCGAGGGCTTTATCACATAATAACACACTTCAGTGAGCACACAATAACCACATTAGCCACTGTGCGTCCAACAAAACAACAGCTTTGTGCTCTCCATGAGACCTCGTCCTCCTATAACAGATATTTAAGTCCAAAGGCCATTCAGATCATGCATCAGCTATTTTGGATCAAAGTGCTCTGCCCTTCTTGGAGCAGTGATAGAAAGAGTTCAGAGTTGGAGGCCATGTAGACGTGTCACTGATATAAGTATCAATCAAGCTAACTGTCAAAAAACAGTCATGGTTCTGTGTGAGAGTGAAGTTCAAATGTTGAATGGAAGTGAAGAAAGTTCTCTGGGGATCAATTAAAAAAATCACATCAAAAGGAAGAAAGTGTTCTAATTACATGAGCTTTGCAGACAAATAAAGAATGATTATATAATCCTCAGCATGGCAACCTGAGCACAGCTAATGTTTGCAGATAGATGGATTCTGCTTGTTTACCCACCAGGAATCATGGGAAATCACAGACATGCGAGGGACACTACACAGGACAGGATATCTGACCATGCCAACTGGCACAGTGTGATGCGGTGACATCACCTCTGTCTGTATGGCCAGTTAAACACACACATGGACACACACACAATCAGGCCTTATTCACACTTTGCTTTGATGCAGTGAGTCGCAACTTCTCCATTAAGGACCTGTTTTTCTTCTATGTGAGGGCTGGACAAAACATTTTTTCTGAAAGATTTATAGAAATGTTATAAGTACTGTACTGAGCAGAGGCGGTGGTGTTAAGAATCCTATTTGAATATTTTATTTTAAGTACATTTGATTAGCCGATAAATTGAATGTCAAATAAAACCACGGTGGCCTCTGGTGAATTGAAGGTGTTACTAAAAGATTTAACGTGGTGTCTATATCAGTCAATGGAATAAACACAATCAACGTCAGTTAAGAAATGTTAAGGGCAGGAAATTATATAAAATAAAACAATTGCAGGGACAAAGAAGGGTGCAATAAGAAAAATAACCACACAGTGAAAGAGCAGGAGGTCTGTTGACATTAAGACATGATCCTCAGTGGCCTGGTATTGATTTTTTTTACTGAGATATCCACTCTAATGTCTCCTGGAATCTATTCTAATTCAGTCACTGTAGACAAGAGTGCACCAGAATGAACCAGATGTTCACCGGCTGTTCTGCCATTGGTTGACCAGCACCTGAGGTGACATCTGATACGCAAACACAAATCTATAGAGGAGCCGTACATTTTGGAATCAATGTAATCAAATGATTGTTTCAGATTACGTGTTTTCAGTTAATATAAGGCTACAGCTACCAGCTTATTTTATCATACGGGCTGTCAACGAGAAGAAACAATTAGCTTGGCTCTGTCTGAATATTATTCTGCCTAGTATCTTAAATTAAATTAAGCCAAGCAGCTGCTGGCTATAGCTTTGTGCCCAACAGGTCGATGTGTGAAAGGTGTCAATCTTCTTATCTATCTCTTTGGCTAAAAGGCAAATCAAGCCAAAACATCCTCAAACCTCAACGACCATACATGTCCTAGATATTTACCATCTGATACGGTCTGGAGAAACAACTCTGGAAACAGCACTTTCAATTTCCAGAGAAGCTCCAGACATTGGCCCTCATTGTTACAGTAGCACATGGATAAAAGAAATAACATAGACTAGATATGTTTTGACTGAAATAAAGGTCTATGTTTTGCTCTAACGAACAACATGAACCATCCATCCACCCTCATCTGCTCCAAACATGGACTTTGTCGCTCTTCATACTACCTCACCTGTCTTCTTGCTTTGCTCCCGTCTAATAAGATACTAGTCTGACTGGCGTACTACAAGACGAGGCAGAACAAGTCAGGTGTCCCAACAACAGTCATAAAAAATGTATTCACTGGATTACTTTGGATGACTTTTTTCAAATTTATGATCTGAAATCAGAAGCTTGTAACACTGGAATCGGAAATTAAAATGGCTATGGTGTGTTTTTTTAAGTCGACCAGTTTCTAGTCATATAACAGCCCTCATGAATAAGATATATTATGTCCATCTTGTGTAATATATTCTCTGACCTCGGGCCTGATGCTGCTCATCAAACCAGATGACTGCTCTATAGACACATTGGATTTGGACTGATTCCCTTCACAGACTCCTCTCTCTATCTCTCTGTTTATCTCTTACACTCTCTTCACCTTTCTCTTTTTCATTTCCATCTCTCTCACTTGCTTTATTCACATTTTCTTCTGAGCCACCGAGCAGTGTCTCATTTCTCTTGCTCGCAGGCCCTGAGTGAAGATAACACCCTCATATAAACCTCACTGGATCGGCCCTGAGAAAATTTGAATTGTTTTGCTCTACAAAGTAAATTTATCCCCAATAGAATGAATTATGCTAATTCTATTGATGCACCAATATTTGCTGTTTTTATAATGTTAATAACATATTTGTGAATCAGAATACATTAAAAAAGTGGATTTTAATAGTAAGAACGATACTGTCATAGAGGCAGCAGCATCATAGTAAATTCAGCATTTACAAGAAATTATTCTGAATGATAATAATTACTTAGTAATACTTAATTTACATTTTGAGAAATACACTTATTCAATTGTGAAGTGTAAGATGAGAGAGTTGATACCATATGTTGCAACTTTATAAGTTAATAATAAATACGGGGCCAGAGACAGGCTTATCCTATCTTATTAGGGGTTTATTTCTAAAAAGGACAAACAGTTTCTTTAATCATCAAACTCAAAAGACGGGCAGATTGTATACATTAGACGAGGTAAACATGTCAGCCAGTTGATACTGATACACTCTGACATTCCCTGCCATCTTAAGGTCATCCCATACACTGGTCCACAGAATGAATTATGGGACACACTGACATGAGGCAAGGGCACGCTATATCACAGATATAAATATATAGAGATTTAGGGTTGGGGCAACCACTCATCTAAAACACTTGTCAGTTGACACTGCACTCCCTGGGTACCCAGCAACACATCCAGCACATGTAAAGTGGATTGGATGAGCAGCAGGTTTTTTTTAAAGAAACAACAAACAATTATGTCCCCCTGTTTATGGTATCTGTTAGTTATACTTATTGGTATTTTCAGTATTGGTAAAGATTAAAGGACTAGTTCAATATTTTGGGAAATACGATGATATGCTTGGAAGTGGACATTTTAACATCTTGATCAAAAGAAGTTAAACTGATGAAGCTATTCATCCAAACATTCAAAATTAGCACAAGAAAGTTGCCCTTGATAACAACAAGCAAATCTGAAAGAAAACAGAGAAAGCACAGTGTATTGAATGCATGCCACCTTAATGTGCTAGAAAACCAAAGTTTAGATGCTCAAATAAACATCTTGAGGCTTGCGCCACACAAGTGGTGTTGACTTATCTATGCTTTGTTTGGAGGAGTTATTCTCCTCTTGCCCTCCATTAATAATAAATGAATGACAATACACGGTAATGGTAATAATAATGGCACTGCTTGAGCTTCGCAGCAGAAACACTAGACAGCTAAGGCTAAATACCATCACTGTCCTTTAATGGCCTTTTAGCAGAGCATTACAAAGCATCAAACCTTATAACAGATGCATATATCTGATATAGTTTCAGAGCTGAACAGGCCTGGACAGGCAGATATCACTGCACAGATCTCAGATAGATGACTGGACAAGTGTGGTCTGACTGCTCCGACTGCTCTCCACTTATTCTATTAGTGTAAGCGTCACTATAAGCTGGTTAACACCGAGGTCATGGAGTATTAGCATGCGCTCACAATTTCCTGTGTAAGGGAAAGGTAAAAGGTAAGGTGAGCAACAGTATCACTGTCTTCACCAAAATAATTTAAAGCTCGAAGCCAGTCTGCATGAAACGCCAATAGTGGCAATACGCAGAATAATAAAAACTGACGAGTGAAAGCCACTTTATCTCATGCTGCTTTCAGCACTGAAGTACAGACATTTGACTGAAATTACCCTAAGGGGCTGTATGTGAGGAATGTCTGTCATTTGATCAGGACATTTACCAGAACTTTTCCTGCCAGCCCCCCTAGTAGAAAATGTTCGGGTAAATGTCAAAGTAACGAGCTAATGTTAGAATACAGCAGGACAATGTCTGGAAGATGCACCACAAATTAAGGGGTTAGTTGAAACTGAAAAAAAATATATCTCAGGATGAAAAAGAGGAGCCATACATATTGAGAACGTCGATGAAGATGTGAACTTGAAAAGACATCATGATTCTAAATAAATTCAGTGCAACAGCAAAATTCATAAAAACTCTGGAAAATGTCGGGATCATATTTTCTAAACATTTTCCAATGTTCATGACTTATAACAGCTTCATAGTTCGTGTTGACCTTCATGAAATCAAGAGATTTTGAGAAACGCATATTATAACATCTAACTTAAAAAAATCACCTAGAGACCATTTTATATAAGACGGCAGCTGTTGAGTCTCATCCATAATCCATTTGCTTTCTAGCTTATTTGCAGTCTATATTGAGTCTATTTCTCTGGAGAGACCCTAAGTGGGATGGATGAAGAGTGTTGTCAGTCAGACAGAGGAGGAAAGATAAATGACACAGTATCCGTTTGCTTCTTTCTCTTTTGCTGTCGTTTAACCCCAGAACAACAGTCTGGGAGTGTCACAGGGAAGCAGACGCCGAGCTAACAAACCTCTGGATCTTTTTAAATTACAGACCATCACTTGAACTGAACCAATGGCATTCTCCTGGCATTATCTTCAAAGGTCTCTGTCAGTGAGCAGGCCTGTCTGTTGAGCAGGTCACTGTCAGCTGCAGGACATGTGGCTGGTCTCTTATGCCAGCAGGAGTGTAACGGAAACTAGAGTCCTAGAACAAATGCTCATTTAATGCTAACATCTGCATCACTGTCAGCACTTAATACTAACTTAATGCTAATGTTTCTTGACATACAGACACAATTTCTTCTCTCAAACACCTTCAAAAAAACAGTCATCCTCTCCAGACACTGTAGTAATTAGTACTTGTATCAAACACACCTGAAAAGGGCACATCTGTACAAGGAGGTTCTTTCCCCACGTTTCCCAATTGACCTGGCTATTAGAGCATGCCGGAGGGAGGACATGATGTATAAAATCGACTAGATATTTGCCAGACATTTTACAAAGGGGCTGGCAAGTGCTGGAAAATGTCCAGAGCAACTGACTCAGACATTTGCATTCTCACATACAGTCCCTCTGGAAGATTTTAGGAAAATGCCCAAAGTTCATTACATGTCTGAAAGCAGCTTATGAGTCAGCCCTGTAAAAGACAATAGCGATCTGATGGACCCCTGAGACATTTTGTGTTTGGATAGATTTTAATAGCAGGATCACTACTTTTTTTTAAATAAAAAAACAAAAGCTCTTAATGTCCCATAGGATGATTTTGCAAACGAGCATGGGCAATCATTGAATCTATTTTAGAAAATGTATTGGATGCTTAATTCATGAACTGACAAACAATGGGGAAACACTGCTACATCACTGAATTCAATTAAAATTGAGCTTTAGACATATTGTGGAAATAAAGAAGACTTAGTTAAACTGTCCACTGGGAGAAAAAACTGTTTCACTTCTTAGCACAAGGAGTGTATTGGTAGATGTCAACAGTTGACAAATGTGAGCATGTTTATTCCCCTGCTGCTGTGTGGCTGGTAATGTGATGTGTGTCAGCCTCACCTCCTCCACCAGAGCCAGCATACGCCGAGTGCTCTCCAGAGACTGTAAGAGAGAGAAAGAGCTGATTAGAGTCCACGGGAGAGCAGGAACAGATATCTCAATGTGTTCAGATGGAAATATGGGTTTATAATATTAATATTAGAATTATACAGACGATACTAGACTTGTATAATTAGCCTCGACTGTTCCTCTTCTGTCCTCCAGAATTCATCTTTTGCCTTTTGTATGCGAACGTCCTGCCCTCTGCATGATCCTCTGAACCCCATCCATTTCTTTAACCAAACACTATTTTATTCCTGATCCTTATTTCACTGTTTCCTCTTGGTAATCTCCTCATCTCAATTCATCCATCCATCCCTTGCCTTCCTTGTTCCTCCCTTTTGTTTCCTCCCATCACATCCATGGAGCCTCTTGGCCCTGCATTATCTCCTCATGAATGTTTAATAAGGCCATTTGAGCTTCTCTATTATTCCACTGCACAGAATTATCTGCTCTTCCTGAGCTCCTCTCAACTCATTAAAGACAGGAAAGTTCTCCCTTATCCCCAAAAAATCCATCACAGACTTGATTAAGGAGACGTCCTGAACAAATTACTAAAACAAAGGGGGGTCACAGTAAAGGAGCTGTAGCCTGAAGGCTTGGGAGACTCATTTGTGTCCCTATGAGAACAGGTCATTTTGAAATGTCACAGTATACTGGTCATGTCATAGACCAAAAATCAGTTCAGAGAAAGTTCTGACCAAATGTTCTCAGTTTTTCTTCTTTCTGGTTTATCATTTTCCCTTCCCTTTGTGCTGCATGTCCACAGAGATTTTTTACCTGGAGACTGGAGTTGAACAGAAATTAAAACACAGTAGATGATGTTGAGATTATGAGTAACTGGTTTGCTATTTAAAGAGTGCACTTGACCAGTAATAATGTTCTATTATTACTTTAATGTGTTATTGTATATACTTATATCCTGGTACAATCATAGTACAACAATAGCAGCCACTTTAACAGATAACACAGGATCATAATAGAATTCCATTTAACTGTAGCAGCCACGTTGAGTTGTTCTTACTTTTGGCTTGAAGGAAGGACTAATATTTTATGTATTAATTCAATTTATAATGAATGTATAGAAAGTTATGTTTTATTGTTCTTTTCATTATTGGACCAAATAATGTCAATGTGTGTGCGTGTGTGTGTGTGTGTGTGTGTGTGTGTGTGTGTGTGTGTGTGTGTGCATGCTAATCCAGCTTTACAGAGGTGTGTGTGTCTTAAACTGCACCTCATCAGCTATCTGGTCTGCGCGTGTCTGCAGGTCGGCCAGCTCATTGCGCATGTCAGCTTCGTCTGCCATGATGACTGTTTAACTTTGACCTAGACAAGAAAGACTGAAGGAGACAGAGAGGGAGAGAGGGGGAAGAGGCAGAGAGGAAATAAGAGAGGAAAACAGGTTAGTACACAAACAATACTGTAAAATAAAACAGTTTGAAAGATGATGGACAGCACGTGACCTTAAATGTGTAAGCAAAAGTCTTCAGAGGATTCGCTGGTGTGCATCAAAACAACACACAGGGACGCTTGCTGAGTGTGAGCAGCCTCAGGTAGATGACAGGAAATACAAACCAGGGTGTATGAGTAATAGATCAAGTCATCAAGCATTCTAAAATAGTGTTTTATGGGAAAATTGTTTAAATGAAACACAAACACTATTCACTTCATTTCTAGGTCTGCATCTATAGAGGCCTTTTACTTCACCAACAACACCATAAACGCACATGACCTCAAATGAATGTATTTACACATCTCAGCACAGCTCTGATCCTTCATTATACTGACTGCTCATGATGACTTTTGAGGTCACTCAACTATTTTGGTCAAGTCAGATTAAGTTTTCCAACAAGTGAATTATCTTTCAAGACATTCCCTGTTCTCATCTGTTGTGAGATTCATGTTGTTTTTAGAGCGCTTGGACTGTAACAGTTAGATCACAGATTTAAACACGCTCAGTAACAGTTGTGGTTCAACAAAAGAACTTTCCACACCAGACATGACCCTTGTCTGAATCCTGGAGTTAACACCTGGGTTCCTAAGATGGTTCCTAGAAAGGTGAGTGCTGTCAGAGCTCACCGGTGGGAAAAGACTTATCATATCTGCTTGTTCACTGTCAATAGCACGATAAAATAACATCAAAGCATGAGATATAACAAGGGCAGCAAATGTGTTAACTGAACTAAAGTTAATGTTGAAAGGGATCAACAGTAAATCAAGCTGAATGAAGGGGGAGCTTCATCACTCGATCAGGACAGAGACAGGGTCTATTTTTGTTCCTCTGGCGCGCTGCCAGACAGTTTTTCATGTAGCCACATGCAGCAGAGCTGGAGGTACGGTCCATGAAAAATTGATGGCTGTTATCCTGCAGGCTGAGCGCTACATGCTGCTGCTGCTGCTGCTGCTGCTGGTCGGGATGAAGATGAGGAGACAAAGAAGAGCTCAGCCCAGTCTCATGTGTTTCTTTAATTCCTCGCTCTCTCACTCTCACTGCAGCTGCTGCTGCTGTCTCTCTGAACAATTAAGCTTCTAATGAGGCAAATAATCTGATCTGCTTCAATCAGATCTCAGTTGCGTGTCTGAAGTGCTTCTATTTCTGTTTCACAATTCATATTGAATTGTTTTTGTTCTAATGTGCGTTGTTGCTGATATAAATTTAACCACCCAGCAGCTTTCAGCTTGGGGATCATTAATGCTTCATGTAATCTAATCCACTGCAGTGTACAGTGTAGCAATGGGACTGAGGGACCACTGACTGCTGGACTCAATCAAACACTGGGACTGCAGCAGTAGACGGATGCTACAGTATGGTTTATTCTTCAAAAACATCCAATGTATCGTGTTTTAGTTCCAGATCTTGTTGGTTCGTTAGATTTCTGTCTCAGGTAGAGGCATCTGTCAATCACTGAGCTGCAGACACAAGGTCAGGTGGTCACAGCTGGATATTTGATAAAGTATCTGCTTGTTCCGTTCTGTCTGTCTGTCTCTGTCTCCATCTCAGCGGAGTCGTCAGGCCAATTAATAATTGAACATGTGCCGGGAAAGGAAATGGAGGGAGGGGAAAAAAACTGCCGTTTCAAAGTGCTTCTCTAATTTTGTGTGTGTTGGTGTGTACGTGCGTGTGCTTTTTTTTGTCTGCTCTGCCCGGTACATACAGCAGTTGAACTTTAAAATATTGATGTTGACATTTAACATTTTAGACTGTCCAAAGTGCAACATACACTGCAAGTCATGAATCAGCAACATTACATGTGAACCACACAGAGCAGACAAGGTTCATGCTAGAAAAGAGAACAATAGCAGATGAGCTCAATGAATTCACAGATTTAGTAATGAGAGTAATAAACTGCTCAAGTGCAAGTAGAGATTTCAAAAATGTAGACCATATGAACTGTGGACAGATATAGATCAGATCACTGGATGTATTCAGGATACTATCACAGCCATCTGCTCCATTTTAGAAAATGCATCTGAGTTCCCAAAATGGCAGCAAACCAAAACTGATCATATCCATGGCAATGCTGCCTTCATGCCCACCTGTTGACAGCATTGCTGTGGTCGTGTTGTCAGTGGCAACCGTATTGATGTTCCACTGATGCATGTCCCAAAAAACAGACTGTCCTCTTAAACTGAACTAATTGTGTATGTGTCATCTTCTCCTCACCACATCTGTCTGCCTCAGGTAATACTCTGCTGTGGTATTGATCAGTCATTGATTGGTTATCTCTTAGCAGTGGAGCCGCTTCCTGTTAAGTCACACATACAGCGCAGCTCCTTGTTTCTCCTGACATGTACATTTACTCACTGGACATCCTTTAACTCTGGTTTAACTGCTGTCCAGCACAGCTTCCCTGCTTGTTGACACTGACAATTGATTTGTTTCATCATAAATGAATCAGATTCATTCCGTGTTATAACAAGAGTCTACAGCTATGATTACAAGATCCCGACTTTAAAACTGGGACACACCAAGCAATCAAGCAAATACAATGACATCTCAAGTCAGTCTACTTTAAATTATACTATCAATGCACAGCAATTAGCTATCGCCTGACAATGAATTGATCAAGCAGGTATATCTGCAGGACCTGGATACCGTGGCTCCATCCCCCAATTGTTGCTGTGCTGACACTGACTCCAAATTAAGTCAAAAGCACAAGATGGTGGCACCTGTATCTGGGATGTTTCAGCTTTATCTTTGTTCAATGGTAGAAAATAGAGACACATCATCCATCTTTACATCCAATCTAACTAATGTAGGCATGCTAACATCTACCCAACGTTATATTTGCATAAGCCAGTGTGAAGGTGAGGCTGGTGGAAACATCAGCAGTTTTAAAGCAGTTATATAAAACATTGCCAAATGTCTGGGCAAATCATCCACTTATTGAGATATTCCACAAGAACCCAAACACGTCAACCTCACAGTGCAACAGGAAAACTCAAGGCAACAGGCTGTAGCATCTGGAGACCATGAGCATCTGAATATCATCCGTCTGGACCAGAGTGGTGGAGCAACAGGCCAACAGTGCCATAGAGGGCAAAGAAGTTCTAAATGTCAGCAAGTTGCTCCACAACTGACCTGAGCAAATAACACACAACATATTAAGATTTCAATTGACTTGCTCTTTATCTCTTCTTATTTTATTGACTTAGTTTACAAGTTACAGTGTGGAACAAAAGTGAAATCAAACTGTGTGCTCCTCTCATTGTGTTACTGTCAGAGTTATACATTTAAAAAAGGAACCTTTCCACACACACACACCAGCACACACTAGCACACACACACCAGCACACACTAGCACACACGCACACACACACACACTATAGTGGAGATGATTTAATGCAAGGTCCGGCCGTCCCCATCCCCCACCTGTGGCCCTGTGGGCTGTCACTCATCTTGACTGGCGGCTGCTGTAAGGCCTGAACTCAGCCTGTAGAGATTAAAGTCAGCAGGGAAAGAGGATTTACTCTCCACCGTTTTCTCTCTCCTCTCTCTCTCTCCTCTCTCCTCTCTCTCTCGCACACACACACACACACGAACACTCTTCCTCTAACTCCATCTCCTCTCTCTTGCTTTCTTTATTTCACGTCATCCACTTTCCATGCCCTCTCTGTCCATGAAAATATACAGTATGTGTCCAGGAACAAGAGTATACATTATATAATATCTATGTAATAATACCATACCATACATCTTTAGCTATAAATATAGGCCACCACAGCATTGGTTCACTCTGTAGCTAAATACTTTAAAACTGAGGTCAAATCCTGCGGCGTACAGGAAGTGATCAGATTTCCGGGAAACAGACAATAATTCTGAAATCTTACCACCCACAAAGCCTCTCATTGCATCAACAGTGTCAAAAGAATAAAATCCTGAGTAACTGTTACACGTGGTGTCTGGAAGAACAGAGCAAGTATCACTGCATTTCATACACATGGAGACGTTAAAAGGGCACCAATGAATTATTGATCCAAATATTAATAGCATTAATATAAAAGCTGTTGAAGGCACATTTGGAAAGAGGATGAGAGAGGGAAAGAGTCAGGACATGACCTCGAGGAGCAAAGCCATTACAAACGTGAGAACAGAGGCTCTCTCTCCAGGTGACGAAAAAGTGACGGAAACTGTCGCTGTTGTTGTGTTTTATAATTAGACTTAATCCCACTCCGTCCCAGTAAACAGCGACAAGTCCAGCTGCTAATATGAACACAAAAGTCAGAATTTGTTTCCATGGATGTTCTTGTCTGTCTCTGATTGTCCTTGGACCATGTCTGTGACGTCCATCATCACATCTTTTCCTTTCTACAAAACCATCTAGTACCAGCACAATGGACAGCTACACTATCTCATGTCATTTGAGCTATAGGCAGATTTGTGTATGTGTATGTGTGTAGACAGTACAGTAGAACACAGCAGTGTTTTGCTCCAGAGCTCCAGAGGGGGACTGGTCATGGACTGACAAGATTAACACACAGCTACACAGCCCCAATCATAGAAGAACCCAGCAACAATAAGGAGCTATTTCAGGCAACAAAGAGAAATCTTATTGGATCATACAAATGGAAAATTCCTCGCTGAAAGCCTGAAAACACTCAAACTCAGCTGTAAAGGCAGCATGTATATAGACAGAGTCGAGATATGGTAAGAAGACAGTTTTGAGTGGTCACACTCGTTGGTCACAATACGATATCCATCCATCCATCAACTATTTATACCACTTGTCATTTGAGGGTCGTGGGGGGAGATGGAGCAAAGTGGTGGGGTTCAACCTGGACAGGTCATCAGTGTATCACAGGACCAAACATACAGAAACAGACAAAACATGGGGTCCAT